TGTCCTAAAGACGCATAAGCAGGTGCTAAACTCTGCCACTGAGTGTGGGCTTGTGAGCTCCCCCACCCTATCCCCACTTCTGCCTCCTTACTCTCTCTGCCAGGAAAGCCGGGGCCTGGTGCCCATCACTCTGAGTTTTATTTTCAAACCAAGGCACAAATACCTGTCTTCCTCCAGGGAACTTCAACTCAATACTCTCCCCAAATCCCTTTCCTCCTCTCTGCTATGAATGTGTACTGCATCTCTTTCCTCTTCTCTGCTAGGAAGGTATGTGGAAGCCTACTTACATGTAAAGCACAGAACAGGAACATGAAAGTGACCTCTGTCTGGGGATCAAATGGAGTTAGTTATCTTTGCAAAAGGATCTCAGCTGGCGCTCAAAGGCCAGCAGCTTGAACAAACAAAAAGCAGGAAAGGAAGGGCTGTCAGCCTCTCTTCCCAGGCTCCACCCCAAAGCCAGCCGAAGCCCATAAATGCTCTTTAATTGTATGGCTCCAGGGTGAGGGGGGCCTAGTCCTTCCTATTTCTCTCAGATCTCTCTCTTGCTCGGCTTTATCAGACCAAAAATTCAAAATAAATGCAATGAGTAAATAAAATCAGGGACCATGCCTAAAATTTACAGTTGTAGCTTTTTTTTTTTTTTTAAGGTTTTTGCCATAAAGCGTGCACACTCGCCAGAGAGAGACAGTGAGAGGGAAAGTGAGAAATCACTCTTCATGAGAGATGGCCATGCCACAATCCCTTCTCCTCCATTCTGCTCTCGGGATTTTAGGCACACACGCACACGCGCCCGGCGTGATTTTTAAGCCATCAGGTCCAGGACTCAAACTGTGGTTGACCATGTGGGAGTCCAGCACTGTAACCGCTACACTACCTGCTGGTCCCACAGTTGTACCTTTAAGAAGTAACCTTCTTGGCAAAGAATACAACCACTAGTAATTTTATTTCTTCTTTCTCAGGAACTAAAGTGAGGGAGATGGGGCTCACTCCCCATGTTTGCCCACAAAACAGCCAAACGAAGCGTCATGAGCGAGCTGGGTGAGTTCAGTTTTACCTGTGACAACTTTGTTATGCCTTCATTAGCCATTGACTCTACGTGTTCCTTTAATCTAGGGTGAGGTGCCAACAGCTTCAGGATATCGGGAGAATGTTCCTGAGACTCTCCCGGGACTGATGGTGAAAAGAAACTAAGGAGAAGCTGTGACATAAAACAGAAGACTTCACTACTTAAGTTTCTACAAGTGCTCAGGTGGAGGGGAGGGGGAGGAGGGGGCAAGGGACATAGCTTGCAGGGTAAAACTCCAGGGAAGAAGCCTTGGTCCACTGTCCCCCGACACACCGGGGCAGGGGTCTGCTTCAGTATGCATCAGGATCACCTGGGGAGCGTATGAAAAATCCCGGTTCCTAGTTCCCACTCCCATCTCTCTCAGGTCAGAAGTGTGGCCTAGAAATCTGGATTTTGGAAGGCACTGTAGAGGCCTCTGGTATCTAGCCAAGGTTAAGAGCCTGGTGGTACCATTACACAGAAATACATGCTGTGGGATGTTACAACCAATCTAGGAGGAAAGACAGGTGAGGTCAGGGGAGAAAAGTCAACTAGAGAACCTGAAGTCTTTGTCCATAATATGCCAGTGGGTCGAAGACTATGAATGTCCCCTAGGTTCCTTGCTGTTTCTTGGTCTGCCTCACCCGTGTGCTCCTTCCTCCTCCCCACCAGCACCTCTGGATTTTTAATCCCTTCAGAGCTGGGGACCTGAACAGTGAGATGTTAGAAAAACAGAACCCAAATGTCTTCCCTCTTCTCCCAGCCACTCCTCCCCTATTTTGGCCTTCACTTTCCAGAGAATGCCTAGTTAAGTTCAAGGACCAGGAATAGGCAGGTTCTGGTCCCTTGCAATTGGGTAAGCTGAGAGAGTAGGAGTGAAAAGTACCAGAGGGACCAGGAGTCAGCGATGTCCATTCTAGTGCAGGCTGCACCATTAGCTATCCTCATTCTTGCTTCAATTTTTCCTTGTGCCAGTGGGATTATGAATATATATACACACACATAGTCTTGAACACAAGGAGGGCAGGTCACTTGGCTTTGAAAACATGCTCAAGAGTTTACAACTGGTAAGTGATATACCCTGCAGTGTCTGGACATCTGCTGAAGGACACTCCACTCTCTTGTTCAGGGTACATAATCAGGGGATTCATTGATCAAGGGTACTGGACAGAACACCAAGCTCCAGTTTCATTTAGTCTCTTGCTGGACCCTAGCAGTTTCTTCATGCTGTTCCTTCAGATGCCAGTACCTGCCATGTAGCAAAAGCCTGCTCAGCCTTCAAAGCTCAGCTCAGGTGTGTCTCCCGCTCCTACTCCAGCCTTGCTGATCTCTCCTGTTTATTCACATTCTCTACTACACTAACACAGCATCTTAAACCACACCACCTTAGGTTCTCCTAGAACTGTGTGGCAGATGTCTTTCTCTCTAGCCAGATGGCCAGCTTCTGGAGGGCGCATAACAGATGCCCAATAAATACCATACTGGATGGAATGGAATGAAAACACTTATCCAGCCCAGTGCCTAGGGACAGGCCTACCATTTGAGCCCAAAGTCCTCATCCCTGTGTTTCCCTCCAGCTCAAACAAACCCACTTCTCAGGTGTAAGTTGACAAGAGTGAGATGCACAGTGCCCAAGGTCATCAATGCCAGATTTCAAGGTCCTTCCTCCATGGGACCGAGAGTTGGCCCTAAGAAGCCCTACTGAGTTGCCCAACAGGACCAATCCATTTCTGAGGCTGTCTCCCTGGAATTCCCCCCAAAATCGCACATTACTCTTCTGCGTTGGCCACACAGCATTCCAAGATATGAAGATGAAAGGGCAGAGGGTGGCAGGAGGGAAGAGGAGGCCAAGGGGTGAAATCAAAGGGAACAAGGCAGCACTTCCTCTCATCATTTTACTACCTAAGATCTCTTTCTCTAGACCACCTCGATGGCTTTGGAAAACTAAAGTTGGGGTCACCTCTCAGTGGAATAATCATTCCATATGAATGAAAGTCAATTCCACTTCAGGGTCAGCCTTGGAAAGGTACAAATGGGTCAAGAAGAAAAACAAGAGTCTGAGGTAAAAACAAACATTCAAAAAGAAACAGAAGCCTGTGAGTTCTAAGACACTTTATTAATGTCAAGTGAACCCACAGTGTTCTTAAATGGCTGTCATGCCTCATCCTGGTAAAAATTTGCCTCTAAATTCTGGCACTAATTTCAGAACTCCATGACACTCGTCACAGGTTAAGGCTCACTCGCATTGTCTGGCATTCATATTGATGACCGCAAGATTGTATGTTCCTTGAGGACTGAGACTGTGGCTTAAGTCTCTTTGGGTCTCCAGAACTTTGTACAATGCCTTGGGAAATTGTGGAAATGACAACAGCTGGCCTATCTACAAAAGTGGACTGGAGAAAGGAGTCAGCCCAACCTCTAATGCCCACTGCATTAGGAATAAAGAAACCACTCATCCGTGGGTCTGAGATCTGCCTCTGTTGGCCTCTGCCCACTCAAAGTCAACGTTCTTCTGAGGGAGCCTGCCCATCCCAGAACTGGGGAGTTCCATTGCTACTCCTGACCAAACCCCATCAGTGAGTGCTGACACTCCAGGCATGTCCTCCTGTGAGAGCAGATTGGTGAGGCAGGTAAGAGGGTAGGTTTTGGAAGCGGATAGAATTGGGTTTGAATGCCTTCTTACGAGAAACTAGCCATGTGACCTCAGGAACGTCACCATGCCTTGGACCTCCTCATCTGTCTCATCTGTAACATGCAAATAAATAACAGTAACTACCCTCATGGGTATGTTGTGGAGATTACATTATATCTTCCACATAAAGTACCTAGCAGAGTACCTGGTGTACAGGAAATGCTCAACAAGTGTTAGACATAATTACTGTTATTATACCTACTGCTGCTCTCATTATGGGCTACATTTAAGATCTCAGAAAGGGTCCATGGCTTGGAACAAATCTCACCAACCTGTGCTCCTCTCACAAAACCTTATCCACATACCCAAACCAGATCAAAGCCAACTTCCCTGAAAGGAAATCCTCTCTGAAAAGCAGGAAGTCCAGAACCCAGCTTCTCCCCTGTTTGATTTTGCTATGGATTCCTTCCTAGGGTCTTCAGAAACCAGTCCTGCCTCTCATCCACTTTCTTCATCCACTGCTCTGCCCAAACACACTGGGACAAAAGAGCACTATCAGCATCCAGCTTCTAGGCCAATTAGACACTAGGAAGGTAAATTGCAAAATGATAAACAATAACAACAACAAAAAACAAAGTCCATCAATTGAGGATGCATAAGCCTTCACTCATGCTCTCGGTCTTTCAAGCAATTTTTTTTTCTGTAGCAATCACATTCTCCTGGGCCCAAGAGTTGGAATGACTGATTGGATTATATCATAATGGTCTCTGCTTGCATCTGTGAGACAGTGTGTTTTATGTCTAACAAAGAAGCTGCAGGCTGGAGTTCTGTGTAGGTGGGGGAGGTGGAGGTCACTAGCACCCCTTCCCAGGAGCTGGCTGCCCTGTGCTGCTGCTGAAGCTATGATCCAGTCAAAGAAAACCTATACAACCACAGGCAGCACACACCCCAGAGCTCTCCTCAACAGCCACAGTCTCCTCCATGAGCTTTGATCCCATGTTAACTTACTTGGCTTGGTTGGTTTGTTTTTCTCTCTGACAGTCCAGACCTTGAATCAAAGAAGCAAGAGCATCCCTCACAGGCTCCTACGAAAGTGTAAGAACTGCCCAACCTGATCGTAAATGCCAGGAGTACAGTGTTTCTGAGCAATCAGTTGGCACTCCAGTATCCTTCCTGTCCCATTAACCCAGGGAACCACCCACTCTGACTCCAAATGCCAGAAAGGACAGCATCCTCATGCCCCGCCCCAGAGAAGACAGCAGTGGGCGTCCATTAGGCAGCTGTACCTGATGTCATTTCAACTCACCCTCTGGGCTTCGGATCTTGCTCTCTTTTTCTTTCCATCAAGGGATACACAATAAAGAAATTCCCTTAGTGCTTCCTCCACTTTCCCTAGGGTGGCTAAGGCTTGTGCTTTTCTGAAGTGTGCCTGGAAGAAAACAATAGCATTCAATCCCACCTTATTCACCTTGTTAAGGCTGTTACTATTAATAACAATCCTAAGTGCTTAGTGAGCATTCACGATTGTGTCAAGTGTTTTAAAAGGACTCTCTTATCTTCAGCCTTTTCATGTAGGCAACTGTTCTGAATCCCATCTTAAAGAAGACAAAACTGAGACCCAGAAAAGTAACATGTCCAAAGTAATAGCTGGTAAATGGAGAAATGAGGGTTTGATCCTGAGAGAGAGACCAACATCCACATCCTACGGCACCTGCGCTAGCTGGAGAGAGACAGAGAAAAGAAACGTGAGAAATCACCTCCCAAGGGGGATGACCATGCCACCATCCTTTCTCCTCCATTCTCCTCTCAGGATTTTGAGCACACGTGCACTCAGTGTGATTTTCAAGCCACCAGGCCCGGGACATGAACTGTTCAACTCCTCAACCACTACACTACCTACTGCCCCGTAACATCCACATTCTTAACCACTGTGCTATGCTACCTTCTCTGTGCCCCACTGTTGTATGGAAGTACCATGAAATGTAGTAAGAATCCCCCATCCAATCACATCCTAATCAGCTTTCAGGGCCTTCCCAGATCTGCCTTCTTTTGAACTCGTCTGCCAAGCAGAGACCTAGTCCACGCAGTGGCTCAGGTGAGCACCAAGACTTACTGATCAGTTTTTAGAAGGGGCCCAGGAGAAGGGTGTGACTTCTCTGATATCTCAAAGGTAGCTAGTAGCAAAGCTAGAACCAGGACTGTGATCTTAGGATTTCTAGAACATTCTTTCCTACTTCAGAGAGCTACCCAAGAGCTGAGCAATGCTTTCACTTCTGGAGGCTCAGCTCCCTTCTGCTCCTTCATTACAACTTAGAAAGGTATAAGGAAATGTCACAGCTCCTCAGGGTCCAAGCCGAGTGCCCTGGGAGAGACACCACAGGAGAGCAGAGGCGCCTCCTGGGGAGGAAGAAAAAAGAAAAAGAGAGACTGCTGCCTTCTCTTTGTGTCTTGGGACAGGTAGCCACTTGCAACTTGACTCAGAGGGCATTTCTTTTGCTCACAGTAGCCTGCCTCACCCCCTTGCTTCCATGGCTGGCCTTAAGTCCAATTTGGGGAATGAAATGATCCAGGCTCTGACTGTTAGATACCACCTCCCGTGCCCTTCTAACATGCCCCTGTGGGTCACAGAACCTGCAGGCTCTGGCCTAGCTACGACTGGCCACAGGCTGCCTTCTTGAGCAGGGCCCCCAGCTCCAAATCTTAA